AGCTTCGTACTTTCTGCTTTCGGGCTTGATGTCATGGTAGTTAAGGAAATGATTCAGGCGTGTAGAGTACATTTCGCGGTCATGTTTATCATAAAGGATTCTTATTTAGATGCTATCAAAGTGTCTTTCTAGGCCACTGATGTTAACTGGCTTAGGTAGAATTATCAGTAGCCTAAGTCTTACTCAATATACAGATATTCAATACAAATACCCACCTCTTTAATCAGGACGATCTTGAGGTGCTTTTCGAGTAGTGCGCTTGATCTGCTTAGTTAAACTAAACTTTCATTTCTATGGTGTTTCTGGTCAGGAAGTTGTAGAAATTATTGTAATTATTTGCCTTTCGAACACTGGATCTGTGGATATAATCTTACTGACAATTAATACCTATAACTAACTGTTTGGCATGATATGACTCTTTAACACCAACTAATATCTATAAATGTGTATACTGTTGCGGTTACATAGCCAAGTTGACCCAAGTCAGTTAGTCTATGGCTCTGATATCATTTTTATTAACTGTATTAACAGTGATACTACTGCTACGGGTTTTTTTGTTGTTGTCTCTGCCCTTCCTGTTGTGATTTTCTCCCTTTTGCTTGTATTGTTCTGAATGCCTTATTCCTTGTTTCCCTGACTCTAAAGGGAGCACCCAGAAATCCGCTCCTCTGTGAACTGTGTATTCATGTAACAACCGTCTTTTCAGGCATGAGGAGAGCAACCACACTCTAAAAAAGTTGCTACAGAAACTTTAGCACGATGAGTCTCCTTGCGACAAAGGAAAATGTCTGTGTGGGAATATGGGACGTCCACAACCATGTTCGAGACTGACAAAGCCGCCCAGATTGCAAACGAGATGAAAAGATATGGTATTCAGGTGCTGAAAATATGTGACAGCAGATGGAATGGGAGTGAACACACTAAATTGTCAACGGGAGAGTGGATGAGTCGAAGACAACCACGAGCACACCGAGGGTGTGGCTATCATTATGTCACCAACAGCAACGAAGGACCTGGTACAATGGGGGGCAATCTCTCCCAGGACAGTGATCGCCAGATTCAACTCTAAAGGAAGGAAAGTGACAGTTATACAATGCTATGCACCCACAAACAACACAGAGCTCGGAAAGAAGGAAGAGTTCTACAGACAACTACAGGCAACAATGGACAATACTCCAGTTGGTAACATTAAAATACTAATAGGAGACGTGAACGCTAAACTGGGACCAGACAACACAGGAAGAGAACTCAAAATGGTAGAACTGGCGTGGCATTATGCTCTTGTCCATCCCGAGCAAACTACTAACCCGAATCATCCTGGAGAGAATCAAACACGCCCTGGATGAAAAACTTCGACCGGAACAGGCTGGATTAAGAAGAAACAAGTCATGCGTCGATCAAATCGCAACACTGCGGATCATCATTGAACAGAGCTTGGAATGGCAGTCAGCTCTCTATCTCAACTTCATTGATTTTGAAAAGGCCTTCAGGAGACAGCGTCAATCGAAAGGTGATTTGGAAACTACTTCGCTACTACGGGGTGCTGCAAACAATTATGCACCTCGTCCAATGGTTGTACAACAATGTTGCATGCCAAGTAATCCACAATGGCAAACTCATGGAATCCTTCTGAGTGAAGACTGCAGTAAGATAAGGCTGGCTGCCTACTATCGCCAATGATTTTCCTGATTGCGGTAGAGTAGATAATGCGACAGACAGCATGCAGCGACGAAACAGGCATGAAATGGACCCACACAAAAAACTTGGAGTATCTGGATTTCGCAGCTGATATATGCCTGATTTCCCACAAACTGGAAGATATGCAAGTGAAAAGCAACAAGTTGGCAGAAGAAGCACCAAAGATATGGTGAACATATAGAAAACAAAGGTGATGAAGATTCTTGGTCAACAGCAGCAGCAAAAGACAACATTCAGGATAAATGGGAGGAATCTGAACCTCCTTTACCTACCTACCTGGGAAGCATCGTCTCAACTACAGGCGGACGGAGATGATGAGTATATCAAAGCGGTGAGGATCGGGAAAGAAGGCAAACTTTCATTACTCTCAAGTCTGTGTGGTGGTCAACAGCACTCAGAATGAAAAATAAGATTCGGATTTTCAACTCCAATGTGAAGTCAGTTCTACTATACGGATCAGGGACTTGGCCCATCACGGAGGGCACTTCGAACAAACTACAGGCCTTTCATCAGCAGCTGTCTTCGCTGAATACTCATGATCAGATGGCCAGAAAAGATCAGCAACAGAGATCTCTGGGAGCGGACCGATCAGGAACCAATTGCGGAACAACTACGCAGGAAGGAATGGAGGTGGATTGGCCATACCCTCAGAAAACTACCAAGTGACACCACACGCCAGGCTCTCGAGTGGAACCCGAATGGGAAGCGGTGAGTTGCTCGTCCGAAGATGACTTGGAGGAAATCATCTGAGGGGGAGATGAAAGCATATGGGCAGATGTGGAGCCAGGTGAAAACGTTGGCAGAGAACCGAACGCAACGGAGACGCTTGACTGAAGCCCTATGTTTCTCTAGGAATTAGAGGAAACTATAATAATAATACAAGAGAAAATTAAATTGTGCTAGGAAAACCAAAGTATTGTTTGGGAAAGTAAATAGTAAAGACAGAATGGCTCGAATGTTTATGAGCCGTATTTTTTATAGACATGTCTCACTTCTTAATCATGCTCTGTAAAGCCTACATGATCAGGACAATAATGTGAGTATGAGCGAGATATTGTGCAAGAAATGCCAACAATAAATAATACTGCATCCATACGCTTTATCAAGTACCACTGTCCTTAATGCCCACATCTCTGGAGGCTCAGTTAACAATGTAAGAAAAACTCAGAATGAAGAAATCGACAACAGAATCGTATGTTGTGGCATGATTTTAGGAAAACTTATTATGGTTATCCCAACTAGTGATCCAAACAACCAAAAGGGATCTAATAAGAAATTATAAATGTCCATGGTGAATCTTGTGCCGACGTAATAGATTCAGGAGAGAATTGGTATGGCGTAGTATTTCAGTACAGAAAAATTCATCTTAAGCCATTTAGAAGACAAGGGGACTGAGAGAAGGGATAGTTTCTTTCCAGTTAGATGCCCACCTCTGGTTTTCCTGTAGCATATATAGAGCATTTTGTCGTATGAAAAATGCTACGTATATCTATTATATACACATAATATATAAAATAATGTTAGGAGAGAAGCAAATTATTACAAAGATAGACCTGATATATCATGATTGCTTGCCACACGAAGATAAATAAGCATCTATACAAAATATTTCAGTGCATTTAGTAGTGTTGCTGAGGTCTTCTGTCGTTCGGCAGGCTAACCAGCCACAGCAGGAACTCTTATCCTCGGCAGTAGGAAACAAATTGACACAAATAAGGAGTTTTTGCTCCGCCTGCCATTAAACTTTGAAAACAGTCTTCAGTGTTTACTTCTGAATTTTTGACTATTTCCCTCAAGATAGCATCATTATGCAGTAAAATTTTGTGGACCATCAGCATTTGCTTTGCACTTGGTAGCTGCTAAGCGCAAGTTTGAGTTTGAAGCACCATACTACCAAGCTTAATATAGGGCTATACAGAACTATCCATACAAGATATCTGTATAGTTTATTATGTATATCGGCCAACCAACAAACACTCGTAACACATTATTTGAATGATGAGACTGCGGTTTTGCCTTGATGTTTCTTGTTGACTTCGACCTGAGTGAACTCAGTTTCATTCACTATGAAGTTAACAGAAAGCTTTCTTGTTAACTATGTTTTCATGCTTTTTACAGTGAACTAATATATGGAGTGAAAGTATTTCTAATTGATGGTCACTGCTGGGCGGATTAAAATGACTTAGCACTGGTCTAGAAGGAAGGGAGAAACTTAATCAAATACACTCATAAGATGAAACAGCATCATGGTGATGCTGCATCTAAGCGATTCTCTATGTTAGGTAATCTTGCAGATTTAATGATGGCATTGCATGAAACTTAAGTGAGACATCCTCACGGATGTGAAATAAAAGCAGTCAGCCCTGACTGAAAAATACAGACATCAAGTTAATAAAGGGAGCTCCTAGAAAAGGTAGTGAGGAGCTTAACTTTCCTCCGATTATTGAGTCTTTTGACATTTTCGACAACTTAAACTATCATGATTTACTCTATTGTGATTGACAGTCTGAATGATGATTTCCCTTACATCTGTACTGCTATGATTCTGACTATCTAACTCTCTTTTCTAAGGGTTAGAACAGATCTTCAAAGGAGTCCTACTTGCTTCAAAGTGTGATTAACGGCTGGAATTATCCGGCATGTTGGTTGAAATTTCGCTCGGCAAATTTTTTTTGCCAATAATTTTAAATAAAATTTTGTTATATGTTTTCTGGATTGATAGGAATTCTCATTTTTTGGCTAGTTATGTTGGTGTCCGCGTCATGTAATCTGATTGCGACACACTTAGCATATTGGTTGTAATGATTAGTGTTTCATGCTGAATGCGTCAAAACTTCTCTACAATGAAGAAAATGGGGTAGTTGGTGGGTAATGTCATCTACACAAATAGTTTATTTCTTGTAGAAGCTGCAGCTTTCGACATAGTGTCATTCAATGAAGACTACGTCTAAATGTGGCTATTTTCGTGTGAAGAACAGTACTATATTACAAAAGAATGCTATCAGTACATGGGAATCACCTATAAATGCCAACAGAACGTAAAACCGATGTGTAAACGAACGGCTACGGAACTGCAACCCAACATAACCGACTAACATGGACGAAAATGACCTTTGAGCGTCTCACTCCATCAATGACCTTGAGCATGCGGGATAATTTCAGCCTGATTAACACCGTAAGCATAGTTTCTCGGTTCAGCCAAGAAATAATCGACTACTTCTTTAGACGTTTATTGTGATAATTATTTCATTAAATTTGTCTGTAGTTCTTAACAGTGACGATAAGACTCTAAATTATTGCGCCAAATACTAACTGTTTTTTTGGCGCGGAGTTAGACCGTGAGAAAGGTGACGTCGAAGTTTTAGTGTCTTAATGCATATTGATGGGTTGTCTTTCATCTAGTTGCGTTAGCTTATACAAGTTTACCAGAATTAATTAGGCGCTTCTGAATTTTAATGAGTCATCGGTCGCGATTCTGTTCCTCTTTTACTCCACTTATAATGGAAAGTGATATATATCACTATAACAATGATATCATTGTTTGTTCATGCACAAGATTAAAAATGGCGTGATTTGAGGCTTATGTCAACTCATATAACTCAGTGATTGGTAAAAAACTCATTTTTCACCTGAACAAGTCTACAGTCTCTCAGTTAGATTTCACTAATAAGAACTGGAACTTCATTGTAGTTGATTATAATCGTTTCAGGCTTAGTATTACGTCACTTCAAGTGGTTTACAATGTAGCATATAACTGCAAAAGCAATACTTTAACCAAAAGACACTTGTTTGTAATCTCTCACCAGCCAATTCGTTAAGGAGAGTAAAATGATCTGGACGAAGTGGTTGTCATACGGAAAGCTTGAAAAAATGTTTTGATCCCGCCAGTCTCTGCTTTTTAACCTCAAACACAGGCTTTCTTTTCAAGTAGCGTAACCCTACTGAAGTCTGAATCACACCTCTTTGTCATAGTTTTAAATGCTCACGGGAAAGCCAGTATTTCCAAATCCTTGGCTTTTGATGCAGTTTTGAAGTTATTTTTTGGAATGACACATTAGTCTTCTTACTGCATAACTTTTGTATCAGAGTTCTTAGTCAAGCTGTCATTCAGAGTGTCCCTACCATTGTGAATGAGAACACGCCTACTTGTTCTAATCTTCGGTAGCCACTTTGTGCTCCATGCCTAGCCTGTCTCTATCACCTTTAAAGTCGTTCAGATATTAAAGTTGGCTTCAAAAGTCGGCCATATGATTTGATTTCAAACAATATTTTATTAAGAGTTACTTCAATACTATCTTCTTGAATCAACAAAGTTACTTACTCTTTACTGCTGTTAGTGAACAATGAATTTGAAGTCATCACAATTGAAAGTCTCAGTGTTAAAATCTCTACTTCTGGGACAGTTTTTCTCTTTGGCCTTGCAGTTATTCCATTTGATTAGGCGTCCTCTTTACAACTCGTGGGTCGCAAGTAGACATCGTTCAATTTGCCGAGGCTTGAATCATCAGCAAATAATTCCCCAGTATTTTTGTAGGCATATCTGAATGTAGACTTCCTAAAGCCGTCAAAAGAATCCGGGACATTCTTCATAATTCAACTACTACGTAGGATCTAGCATAACTGTACAGTAGTGCGGATTAGTACACTGGTTGAATTAAGAGTGATTTTGTGAGGACAGTTTTTTCAACACCACTCGGAAATGTCATATAGACATGATTTGCGCATATATTATCACAGTTATGGTCATTAGCGGTGAGCGCCTAGCAAAGTGCGGTGGTGGACAGTTATGTGAAGTTCTTTGCATGTTGAAGGGAACTGGATGACTTTAAAGGTAGTTTAAAAATTCACTAAATTACTGAACAGAACATACCACCAATTGGCTGTCCATTCCTTCTTCGGACACCTCATTGTCGCAGAACCTCTAATTCTTGGTAAAGTTTTGATTGCCATAGATAAACTGAGACCACAAGCAATCTCTTCCTGAGTTATTATCACGAGGGTATAGAGATAACCGTAGGCTTAAGATTTTCTGGGAACTGATCTCAATGTAGATTTTATCACGAACTAGTTAAATTTCAAAACATCTTAAATATGTGGTCAAGTTTGGAAATATGATTGTGCACACCGAAAATCAATGCTTCCATTGACGACAAAGTTTCAATTTCAAAACTTATCAGAACACCCTTTGTCGACGAAAACGTATTAATTTATGGCTGACTCGCCTACCACCTTAGTTAAGTGTTAGAGAACATCTACAAAAAATCTCAACTTATAGTTTCTGAAGGTAATTGTCTCGTACCCCTAGTTTACAGGCATTAATTTTATAAGATATTTCTTCATCAATAAAGTCTTCTTACATAAACACAAAATGGGTATTCTGGATACTGAGCATATGGCACGCATATCATACTCCTCGAGTGTGAAGCGTTACTGCTGTAATGGTCTGCATGAATGTTTTGCCCCGTTGCAAAGGGTAGGTTGATTAAACACTTCAGAAGCGGATAAGATATGCAAATGTTCATTTGTTTTCAAATGCAGTACATTGTCTATCTATCCGACCATAAAACAGTCACTAAAATAGGGTTTCCTATTACTTCTGCCACGACCAGCATCACTTCGGTATCCCCACAAATTATGCGTAAATTGTATACAAGATTCGACAGGAATGATAGGTCAGTTAACAACGTTATGAAACTTGTTAACTGAAATGTCTGGCGCATTGGTTTCGCACACTTACGAACTGACATACTGTGCCAGTTAGGACAAAATCAAGACGACAAGAAGCTAGGATAGGCTTCTTCGACGAAGTCCGGAAAACTGAGTTTAAGTCTAACAATGAATCATTAAAAATACGGTATTCATAACTTACTACAATCTAAACTGTAATATCATGTAGTTAGTACCCTTTTCGTCCTATAGTGATTAGTCACTTTCTTTCCTACTGTTGTCACATTTTTAATCTTACTTTTTGACTACTACTTTAACATGCTGGTGTATATTTTTATGAATTAAGTTGATGTTTAGTCTTTTTAAGTACTAATTGTTCTTGTCTGTCTGAATTGTGTACGCTTATCATTAGTGTATTAATTGACTCCTTTCCCTAATTATTATTTTTATGAATTTATTGGGAATCCATCTTATATATCAATGCTCATGTTCTTTAAAGTTTTATTGCGGACTGATATCAGTTAGAGAACAGGGCAGCTGTTTCGTCCTAGTTTGGAACTCATTGACGGTATGAATCTACTGGGGCTCGAACCCAGGACCCTCTAGTTGTAAGGCAAGCTCGTAGACTATTCAGCCACTAGGACCCGGCGCAATGGCCTATGAATTCTAACTCCTACCAATTCTCAACGGTTCTTTAACTGATATCAGTCCGTGACCAAACTCTAAATAAGTCAAATCCTCACAAATAAACTCTTAGTAACTCATTTTGTTATTATTTCTAGACTCACGTGCTGGTTGTGTGGATTTCCACCGCCAATATACAAACGTTCTACTCCACCAGTTCTCTGGGAAATAAGACATTACAGACTAATAAAGAAAACTATAGAAAACTCTTAGACATTACGTTCCGGCCATGGTTTTCAAGCTTATCAGATTGTGTCTACTTTTTCTGTTGGCAAATACTTCTTGGTCTGTTGACCGTTCAAATTTCAAGACGTGTGACCAGAGCTCGTAAGTACAACATCTTATGGTCTCAGTTTATTTATGCTTTAGGTTTTGCACTCGACAGCGAAAATTGAAAGCTGATAGTCTAGACTACTGGTTGGAACCAAACTCCGTCATAATGAATTCGTATGGTATGACTGCCATTATTCAAACTCAGGATCAAAACCACTCACTTTTATTAAATATTTCTTATCATAAACATTCCATCTTTCATGTTTTCATCGATGAGCTTACAAATGAGTTTAAGCGGTTTCGTGTGCCTTCAGGCGATGTAATCTTGAAAAGTGCCGAGAAAGCACCTGTTAAATCAATAGTTAATGCAACCAATGTAGTATTACAAGGAAATTCTGGAGATAAAGCGGTTGTGCATTATAAACCTTTCCACATTGATTTTCTGTTGGATAATACTGTTGTGGCTTCAGTTAATAGAAGGAATCTTCTACATTTTGAGCATCAGAGAAATAAACCTGTTGTCGAAAAACAGTCGACTGAAGAGAATAATCACACTTCTGGTGAGACTCACAATCAAGATACCTCATCCGTCAAAGACTCTGATAAATCCTCAAGTGATTCAGATGTCTCCAAAGACTCTGCAACAGTTGATGAAAATAAAGTAGACGAACAACAACCACATTCTAGTTCACAAGATACAGTTTCTAGTGATCCAACATGGTCTGAGCACTTCAAAGAACATCTCGACTCAAGGCCTCATGGATTGAATTCGATTTCATTGGACTTCGACTTTCATGGATTCAATCACGTTTATGGCATTCCAGAACATGCTGATGGATTTGTGCTAAAATCAACAAGCAACGGCGATCCATACAGGCTTTACAATCTTGATGTTTTCGAATACGAGTTAAACAATCCTATGGCCCTGTATGGCTCTGTTCCTCTTTTATGGGGGCACAATCAAAATCATACAGTTGGTATTTTGTGGCTCAATCCATCAGAAACGTGGATCGATATCGAGTACTCGAATTCAGAAACCAATGGCCTATTCTCTAGAATCCCGAATTTCTTCGCGAAAAAATCTCAGGAAACTCGTGTGGAAACTAGATGGATATCAGAGTCTGGTTTGGTAGATTTATATGTTTTTATGGGTCATGTTCCATCTGAAGTAATGAGCGCATATGCTTATCTGGTGGGAACGACAAAATTACCGCCGCTGTTTGCTATAGGTTATCATCAGTGTCGATGGAATTATAATGATGAGGCTGATGTACTAACGGTGGATAAGCATTTCGATGAATATGAAATTCCTGTTGATGTTTTATGGTTAGATATTGAGCACACAGACGGAAAACGTTACTTCACATGGGACCGAAACAAGTTTCCTAATCCTGGAGAAATGGTTGATAAATTAAATGTCAAAGGCCGAAAGCTTGTCACAGTTGTTGATCCTCATATTAAACGCGATTCAAACTGGCCCTTATTTAGGTAAGATTTCCTTTGTTACTTTTGTGCGTCACACCTTCGATTTAGTGTTGTTTCTTTCAGTATGGATAGTTTTTGAACTCTCAGTATTCATTTCCACTAAATTTCTCACAATATTCTAATATACCTGTGGTTTTTATGTCAAGTAATTGTGTTTACCTAGCCAGTTTTACACTTATCATGAAATCAACAAGCTAGGTAGAAATAATAGGTTGCATGCTCATGTAAAGTTTTTCACCTATTTTACGACTCGGTTGTCTAATTCTAATACTTGGAGTTCTTTTTGAGAAGTTGGCACACCTCAGGAGCAAAACAAAAAAACTGATAAGGGTGGTTCATTCAGTTCTGTACTACTCAATCCTCCAAAAGTAATAGCTCAGTCTATAGTATGTAATAGAAGTCAAAGAAGAAGATGCAAGATTATTTTCTTCGAATTTATTAAAGGGATTTTGCAGCATTCGATCAATATGTTGTTTATGCAAACCCAGACAAAGATATTCTAGCCAATATGTACTACTCGAAAACGGATTCACGAGGGAATTACATCGGGTTTTTGGATATCTGAGTCAGTATCTTGGAAAAGTCTCATTCCCAAATCCTATGGGCCATTGCAAAATCACCCAGTACCGTTGAGTTTAGAAAGTCCTAATTGTTCTTCAAATGATTCACTGTGCGTAAACATCCCATACTAAATTCTCGAGGTTTTACTAGGAATGAAAATGCGTTCTGAAGGTACTCAAGTTCAACTTGTATTTAGATTATTAACTGAGTGCTTACGCGTAGAGATATTCATTGTTTTTCATATGATTCCATTATTATGAAAGACCGAACAGCACTCACGCAAGAACTTGTATCCCAATGATAACAGGCATTTACCTAGAAATCGTGAGTTAGGCGTTAGGCAGTCGTTAATGGCTTTTTTGATGTATTAACATTCCTGGGACTTAGAAAAATATGATGATTCGCAGTGATGACAGTCACTTTCGTAGTATTGTTATTATATTGTAAAATAATCAGGTGAGGACTTTGGGTACTCTGTAAAGAGTCTTTTGAAGGAGGTAGATTCAAGTACTAACTTTCGAGATAATAATTGTGCCCGTCATTTATACGCATGATAAAATTGCAGTTTGTGGAAGTAAAAGGGAATAAGAAAACTGTAAAAAAATTTTTGGTGAAATTTTAATGGTGAACTATGGTCTGTATTCTCCCATCTGTGATGTTCAATGAATTGTAGCTTGTCGTAATGTTTCCTCAGACAATAAATGCTATGCCTAAAGAAGGTGGGCGTACGAAAACTGGTTCAGTTGGGTAGTTGCATATGAAGTCTGTATATGTTTTTGAAACTGTTATCTACTCATCATCGGTCGGTAAATCTTACAATGTGTACATTTCTGTACATTTTTGCTGGGCTTTTGCACTGATGAGATTTGAACAAAGCTGCTCTAAACATGTTTTACGAGATTCTGTTGACTGTGTTAGTTTATAATAGTGCGATAATATTGTTCATAGTAATTTAAAGTTATCAAGCTGGTGTTCAAACACTGACTGAATTCCTATGTTAAGTAATGTGAGTTACATATTACGAATAATAACAATAAGGGCTTATGTACAATAATGAAACAACTGTGCTAGAAATAAGTCCTAATTTCACCTTATCTATCAATTTAGTATATCTAGGGCTTAATACTTCTTATTATATCACTGAAGTATTAAATTTTAGTAGTTTTCCTGGCTAAAATTTTCCATTTTTCATGTTAATTTTAGATTATGAAGTTACTGCACAATATGAGTGTCAGCGGGCATTAGACTTCTTCATGTATTATAAATATGTCACTGTCTCACCAAGATCAATTTTCCTCTGTTTTTATTGTTCGTCTATCTAGTAACTCTCAGAACAGTGGGATTTTCGTAAAAACCAGGGATGGTACTGAATATGATGGTTGGTGCTGGCCTGGTTCTAGTGCATGGCCTGATTTTACTGACGAAGCTGTACGACAGTGGTGGTCAAATCAGTTCCTAACTTATGAACCTGTTCGCAAAGATACAATGTTTACTTGGAATGACATGGGGGAACCATCAGTTTTCAACGGTCCGGAAGTCACTATGCACAAAGTTCGTTGACATTAGCTTTTAGTTTTAGTGTTTTACAGTGTTGCCATGTTGTTCATAACGTATTCGAAGGTGTAAAACATTTGTATTGTTATACTTGTAAGTTTATTATCAGGAAAGGCTATGTGGTAGACACTAAATCCAAAGGGTAAATTTTGACGATAAATACATTCATCTGTGTACACGTTATGATCGTCAACAAAGTAATCACAAAAAGGAATTATTAAATTTCGGACTAATGGTTGCAGAGGGTTCAAGTAGTTGAAATATTAAACTTTTCTCGCCACTAACTTCTGTAAATTTAGGATTCAAACTTATTCCTACTTGCAAGATCGGCGTAAAAGTGGTCTCCTATGTAACCAGCTCTTAGTTTAATTATCTCCTTAATCATCTTATGATCACATACACGAAATAAGATAAACTGAAAACTATTAGCACATTAGCAAAACATTAGCACAATTCTTGAGTGCGTTTTATATTGTTTTCTAATCACATGTTAAGATACTTTTTCTCACAGTTCATTTTTTATTATTTCAGTATACTATTATTCCATTAACCCTATCTCATTTATCAGGTTGTTCTAGTGAATTTTTTAATGTTTTCAAAGTAATTTTGATTCGCCAACTATTTGTTCACCAAGAACTCTGGCGTTAGATCGAACTGTAATCATATCACCTAAACTAACGACTTCTTGTATTTGCCTCCTACCATTTATTTGGTAATTGGCTTAATTAAAACAACGAAAAGTCATATTATTTATAAACTTATGTCTGGATCCCCTGGTTTGAAATTCCATTAAAGCTTCGCGGTTGCTTTCAATTCGTTGTCCAAGTAGCATATTTCTTTTGCCGTTATCAGGAGATATTAAAGCATGCTGTTTACAAAACAGCAGATATGTTTCTGTACTCACCTGGATCCCTGAAATAATTCTTTTGTATTTAGCTAACATGAAAGTTTCAGTTTAGTTCAAAAGAGTTTTGTGACACATCTGAGTCTCTAGAAAAGTTATTAACCACCCGTATAATTAAAAAAACTGTTGTTTTCAGATAAACAAATGTTAGCAACAGAAAACGTGTAGTAATTTTACGCCTATTCTAGTGCCCACATCCTAAACCAACAGTGGGAGGAAACATCGATTTGAACAAATTATCTCTGCTGGTAGAGCAAATATGGCAAAATAAAAGCAATTAATATGAATGATATTACTTACAAAATTCTAGAGATTGTATCTAAAGGTGTCTGCACTACTGTGTTAGGTTCTTAAGCTATGTTTCTAGGATGTCTTTATTATCCCGTAAGCGCTAATCAGTGTGTTTGCAGTTTCTCGAATCTTCCGTATTTAATCATTTACCTTCCTACTTAAGATGATGTGTTTAGGTGGTCTACAGCTGTTTCAGATACTTTAAATAAATGGAAATCTATAATATCAACCGACTAGTTTGCTGAAATAAACCTTTTTATTCATCACATAGTAAATATAGCAAATGAAAACAATCCTTTAAATATTATTATAGCTGAATGGATTTATTCTTTACAGTAAACTTAAACTTTGACTGATAAACATATGTCTGCTACGCACTTCAAGTAACTTGATGTTTTGAGAACAATTCAGATTTATTATATTACTCACTTTTAACGAATACTTGTGGTTAATATGCCAAAGCCGTGTGCATGTATGGAATACTATTGAATCATTATTATAAACATCATTTAACACTTAGTGCATCGTCAGTTTTAAATTTCTTTTGCATTGCGTAATACCTTTCTTTCTAGTTGCCTTCAGATTGTCGGCCTTGTACTTTCTTGATAATCCTATATTGTTTTTCCCCACTCTCAGGATGCTAAACATGCAAATAACTGGGAACATCGTGACATACACAACTTATATGGTTTGTACGTTCATCAAGCAACTTGGGATGGGCAAATGTTACGGTCAAATGGTATGGAGCGTCCCTTTGTACTCTCTCGGGCATTTTTTGTTGGATCTCAGAGGACAGCAGCTGTTTGGACCGGAGATAATACGGCAGATTGGGGACACCTAAAGGTATTTTTTTACTTGTGGACTTCTGTATAAGGTTCCACGTTAAGTTATTGACCGAATAAGTTGTATAGTACTGGTGAAGACTAAAGATTTACAGTCAACAAGTGGTTACTTTGGTTGGTGTAATATTCACCTATGTTTTTTTGATAATCCTTAGAGTAGTTTCTTTCACAACTGTATTTAATTAGCTATTCCACCGACATAAAATTATCGTTATTTGTTTTTTAAATTTGCGTGTATATCCATTAATAAATGATGGGTAACAACTTTTGAGAAGGCTATTTTTCCATACACATTATTGAAAACGATTAACAGTAGTTGTCGTACATGAGTCTAGCTTTATCATTCTTTCGATCGATTGTAGCCTGTAACGTGCTTTTTTAAACTTCAGAAATGCTCTATTTTATTGTTAGATTTCAGTCCCAATGCTTCTCAGTCTATCGGTCACGGGTTTGACATTGAGCGGAGCTGATGTTGGAGGTTTTTTCGGAAATCCAGATCCTGAGTTACTGACAAGGTGGTATCAAGCTGCTGCTTACCAACCATTTTTCCGCGCTCATGCTCACATTGATACTAAGCGCCGTGAGCCTTGGTTGGTACCTGCAGAATATGTTGATCCTATACGGTAAGAGTAATTTTCATTGTATATCATAACATTCACACTAATGTTGTGGGTACAATGTTTAAGAGCATGTGACCCTATCCAGTAAACACTGTTTTATCATTTTTCTGACTTAACAGTGTTAACTAGTTAATCACAGTCGTATCCATATGCTTTAATGTAAGGTAATTGGTTTTTTGACAATGATTAGCGAGATCACTACTAGTAAAATTGATTTATTCATAGTTTGTTGGTTTAATTGATTTGTCTACTAATCCTATAATTCCACACCTTTTTTCAAGTTCTATCCATCCTATGAATTATTCTATATATGACATTAATTTGTTTTGCCACTCGACATTTAACTATGATTATAATCACAAACATCTTAGTTTTAATTGCATTTCATACTATTATTATTATTTTATGTATTCACACCTATGATTCAATTCCCTCACCTGATATTATATATATATTTATATATATATATATATATACCATTGTACAGCTTGATGATAAATTCGTTGAAAAGAGACTCTTCGCTGAATCACTTGTTTTGATTTACATATGTATCAAAGGTGCAGTTGTCAATACAGCGTTGATTTCTTGTTCTGAAACTTATATGTGATTAAGATTTTTACCAGATACTCAAAAGTAATACTTTTCTTAAGATGTGTCCGAAATTATACCACACGTATTTCTGAAGGGACAGTCGCTCTTTTTAGCTCCATGCATTTAGACACTTTATATCATGTTTGGTTCGCATTTCAGCATCCATTCACGATTTCAGGAGTATCTGCAAAGAGGTATGCTTTAATGTACTTTGCTAAGAAGATCATGTCATTAGTGAGTAGTGAAATAGTATAGGACGTAGGTCACTATACTGTGTTAAGCCTAATGACATATAATGAAACTACGTTATGGATATGTGGTTCGTTGGCTTAATCATTCAATTACTAGCTACTAGATCATGGATGCGTATTCCAACCCATCTATTTCATCCTGATCAACTGGTTAGTATCACAAGCCCTTACACAGTTAGTGTGGTTCATACTTAGATACGTGGAAAATCCACTCCGTTTAATTGAGTTAAACCTCTGATGGGCTTTGTAGTTGTTGAGTATTTATGGGCTTACTTTCACTATCTACGGCTTATGCGTATCGAGGTAGTCTAAATAACATAATTTTTTATTGGGAAAAACGTATAATTGTTGAGACCGGTTGACTGTTTATTACATAGTGAGTGACCTGATATCTTTACAGTCGTATTTTTTGTGCTAGACACTCGATGTAAACTGGATGGTAGAGGTTAGCAGTCGCATTTGGCCTATTTCGGTGGATGGTTCCTATGTAAAACCTCCCACTATTGAGGTCAAGTTTACAACCTATGCTCATAATATATTTATTCAGCAAAGAACGTAACTGTCTTGCCATTAAAGAGTAAACTTTGCCTCTAAAATTTAATTTTCCAGCCTCTCCCACAGTTTCCCAACTTTAGGTAGGTGGATTAAATGGAACGACGCTGGTTCGAGTCTCGCCCCACCTACTTCAATCTAGTCAACTGGGTAGTATCACCAGCTCTCACGATAAATGTGGCTCTTAGCTTAGGACATGAAAATTCCTTTCCTGGTAACTGAGTCTACAAGAAAATCTGACTTGAAGCCTTATTTTGGAATCTGCATAGTCAGATAACTCCTTTTATTCTAACGTCGCCTGTTTGAAAATTTTGCACAGAAAATTTTAGTGAGCAAGCTGAGATTCGCTAAAATAAGTGTTATCCAGCAAGTACATGCATGTTAATTGATTTCTTATTGAACCGCACCTCTTTTGTGAGAGCTGATGATGAAACGGTAGAAGACGAAAACTTGATAAAGGAATGTTTATTTGGGATTTGGTACCTCTATATAGCTAAATTATGTACACCGTATCTTCAAAGCACAATTTGCACAGATCTTCATGTTGTGCTACTTCTGGCCTTCATATTGCGTGTGTTTCTTTGTGTTCCTTTCACGTCTCCCGTGTATCTCCACAACGCTGTATCATTTACCTTCTCTGACATCAAATGTATCTCCCTGCTATTTGATGTTTTTAAACCGATGAACGTCTCCTTATTTACTACTGATAAGTCTTATCAGTAGCACTCACCTCACAATGATACTACCCAGTTGTCCAAATTCTGTTGGTGAAGCTATGTTTGATTCCGTAACCCACTGTCTAGAAACAAATAACCAAATCCAGTTAGCCTGAGGTTTAAGATTATGAAGATTAGATTAATATTCCATATCGAGACATAAAGCAAAGATTTTAGCGAAGAAAATACTCTTGCAGACGATTTTATTCTTAAAGCTCTCCAATTATATTCATGTATGGATTATTATTATTATTATTATTATTATTATTATTATTATTATTATACAGAGTAGCAAGTATGTTTGTTGTGTGTATGTGTGTAATCTAACAGTGACTGGAAATACTAAAATGTGATAATATTGTTTTAGATGATTACAAATCACAAATTTAGCGCAAGTATGAGTGAACAGAGGTCAACACAAAGTACAACAGACACGTGTAAACAGATGATAAAAAAAAATTAAGTACATTCCGAAGTGTGTATATATATGTTTGTATGTGACTAAATTATAAATATTGCAACTAAAAAATTAAGCAAACAAACGGAAAACCTCTCAATATTGGTTTACTCTAGGGTGAAAAATTAGGCTTTTCAAGCAAATTCTTTATTCAAATATAGGAAGTGAAGTTTTTAAACAAGATGGATTATGTTGTTGTTATTCATTTCTATGTTTAGGTTGGTTCTCAGACTCTGTTAGTTTTTTTTATGTGTAAAATACATTGTAATTTGTATAATATTTACATTCAGTAATAAGAAATATCATTTTCCCTGATCTAATAGCCAATTTTCTTTACTCTTGAATGATAATTCATTTCACTAATGGTTTTTTTTTTGTATTTCATAGGAAAGCTATACAAGCACGTTACAATTTACTTCCCTATTGGTATACTACATTTGCTCGGTCAGAAGCAGATGGTCAACCAGTTATGGCGCCAATGTGGTTTCATTTTCCTAAAGACGTGAATACATTTGCCTTGGAGGAACAGTATATGATTGGTGAAGCTTTACTTGTAAATCCTGTCACTTCCCAAGGTGCTAGTCATGTACAAATATACTTCCCTAAAGGAACATGGTATCACAATCCGTCATTTGAGGTGAGATTTGGCTAACTATGATTGAAACAATAATCATAAATGATTTACGGTTTATCTAAAGCATATTAGTAATACTATCCTTCCGAACTGTGTCTCTTTCGATTAAGAAATCGGTAATTTGTTGTCTCATGATATATTTTTAAAAAAGTGAACATCTCGATCTTCAATGATAGTATTTAACATACAGATGACATTTGGAGATATTTCAGTTTGTTCCAGGTTGGTTTTCATTTACGTTTCTGACAGATTATTCCTACTAGGTTTTCGTAGTAGTTATGATTCAATATTTTGCCACCTTCTTTGATTTATAAAGTGCGATTCAACTATTGCCCGTATGTTTGCTGCTTATCCTTTAGGTGAATGTGAATGCATCTGCAGAGAAGATTTTATACATATTATAGTTCGAACTCGAATTGCCATACCACAGGGTTATCTCATGTACATTTTCTTTCTTAACTTCGTCATGAATAGCATTTTTAGGCTTTATTGAAGACACCTAGTGATGGTGTATAAAAGCAAAGACTAGAAATTGCTTCAATCTTTATAAATTGACGGGCCAACGTAAAACTTTGTGCAGAACTGCATTAATTTAAAATGTATCATTTACAAATGGCAAAATTGACAAGAACTTATCCAAACACACAAATATATGAAAGATTTACCATCTGACTAGTCAAAATGCTTGGGATTTTGAAGGCGATAAGGTGTAAATCCATCTATGGAAGAGTTTGAGTTACCACTAAGAGTCTGCAACCATTGATTCTTAACCTCTCAAGGATATCACTTTGGCAGTCTACATCTATCTACGTAGCTCAAGTAAACAATCAATAACTTCAGGAACCAATGTCATATTTCGGCACAAGCTCTCTCTCTTGTAAAGAAAGTTGATAACTCAGTTGATGAAAATTCACAGTTTCAACGACCGACTCACGCTCCTCAATTAACCCTACGTCTAATCCCAAAAATAATTATCATTACGGTTCTATCAAATTTAAGAAATTTGACCTGGACATATATCATCAGAAACCATTAATCTTCTGATGTCTTCCACTTTCACATCCGGCATATCATACCGTGGTAAATTTTGACTGTCTAAACTGTTGCACTTTACAAACACCGTTTTGATAAACGGGTATGTGTCTCACGGCATCAAAAATGACGCCACATGGTAAGTACCTAAGGAGCCTTTTGCATCCACGCATATGTCATCATCAACGTGCCCATTAAGGATTCTCAGCAAAAAATGTTGAGAAAAATGTCTTTACTGAATTACTATTTCATATTTTAAAGATTTAACATTTGTTTTACTTAGTGTCTGTCTGTATCTATCATTAGTTGATAAAAATTGTATAAAATTCTAATACTAAAGGTGTAACGGCTAGATTCGTTGAAAATTTATCTTTGCTGAGCTTCTTGTCTTCCTTTTTAACACTAGGATATTTTGAATGCCTAGCCTTTAATTAAGTATTTCCTTTCCCTTCACAAATGTTTATCAGTTAAAGTGAAATCAAAATTTTAATCAGTGATCAGTTGTATGTCCATGCAGTTGGCGATAAGTTACAGCTCCACATCTAAAACATCTGTTCTTTTCCTGTTTTCTTCTTTGTTATGTGTTGGTTTGGAGTTCAGCAAGTCGTTTTGATGCACATTTATGTTGTTGGCTTTTTAACGTTGGTTTCTCATCTATAGCTATCAATCACTTTATTAGTTCTTGTTCACTATTGGTTTAAAAATACTCTGAGGATCTTATGGTCATCACTTGATGAGATAATTATTTCGAGAATATTTTGGAATGAGTTATAATTTGCGACAATATTATATTCCAGTGGCATTTACTTTTAGATTTACTTTATCAACAGCTCTCTGAATATTAAAGACTTTATGGGAAAGTCGTTCACCATTTTGAAATTATATGAAATAATTACTAAGATTTTTATAGTTTATTGACATTCTCAGTCATATATCTATGTTATTTCGTGGTATACACTTTCTTTTCTCGCTTATTACGACTAACTTCCTGTTTTTCAATCCAGGTCTATACAGGTGAACAATTAGTGCAGTATCCCGTGACATTATCATCCATACCTACGTTTTATAGAGGTGGTTGGATTATACCGAGAAAAGAACGCATACGTCGTTCATCATGGCTTATGCGTGATGATCCATACACGTTCATCGTGTGTTTGGATCCTGAAGAGCCTAATGCTTCTGGTTACATATATTTTGATGATTTTCATTCTACCTCCAAGTTAAATGCACAATTTTTCAAAATTATCTATAATCGAGTTGTGGATCCAACAGGTGGAAATATGCATGGTGGAAGATTGCGTTTAGTACGTTTACCATTACCAGGTGAAACATCTATTTCTTCTCCTACAAATGAAATTGTTATTCCGAGAATTGAACGTATTGTTATTGTTGGATTAAATAGCACATTAGAAAGAGTTACTGTTATTGAAGAGCATAAACCACGTAGAAATTTAGAGTTTTCAGTTAATCCACCAATTCATCTTTCTGGTAGTGGTCCCACGCACACACCTCAAACTGTTTTTGTTCGTAAACCCGAACTTTTAGTAAACGATCAATGGGAGGTTCATTTTGTCACTGGTAAAGAACTGAAAGATGATTTATAAATGAAAACTAATGTTTTTTTCTATTTGTTTTTATACAACAATCTGTTCTGCATGTACATGAAAATGTTGTTTTAAAATACACCTACAAAAAACCTCTTATTTTTAGACTAGTTGTTTAATAAATCTACTCTTTGTTTTGTTTTTTTGTTTACCAAGTGTAATATGTGTATGTTAACTTTTTGTCATTTGTCCTTTTTCTCTTCTCATTTCTGATTTGTCTTCACTATATATTTTGTTTCCTTTCCAAAGCACCTCTTCTAAATTTTTTTTTTGTGTTTCCTTATCTCGGCACTAGTGATGTGTATGTACTTTTCATATAATCGAATTAGGCTTCAAAATATATTTTTATTTGTTGTACATTTCCTTCTTATCTATGTATATGATTGCATGTAAGAACTTCCTATAATGCATCATACGCCACGTATTTTATTACATCTCAGTAATTTTGTTTAGGCACCTGGCTTCCAACCAGTATGTCATGACTTCGGCCACCACTCATTTTACTGAGGTTTGGACAGCCAATTGTTAGTGTCCATATACCTCACACAGTAGTTGTCACTTGTTCCCAACTACTTGGAATTGCAAGTGGTTGTTCAGTAACATTTAATTTTTTTTTACTGATTTCCAAAATTGTCTGTGGCTCAAAAGTTTACGATAAGATAAAATGTAAAGACTCATCGCGGTATACGGATAGATCTATTAGGTGTTCATTTATTTTATATGGAGTGTTATAGACCAATAGGAAAGCTGTTACATTCATCCTATGGATGTTAACGAGAATTATCAGCCGACAAACTGAAAACATCGCCCTACTTTCGAGATACATTTGGTCGTTTCAGAATGTCCACATGGAGATTAGATAGATTAATTCTATACTAGTTGGACCTATCATTTTTGTCAGTTCGTTCCAATTTTACATATAAATAATGTGTCGGTTAAAGTTTGTTTTGATTTGAGATATATTCAACATGCATACGACTACGTGTACCTACGACATCATTTGTATTTCTATCCAAGAGTTATTCAAGCACAAAATAAATTTCAGCAGACAGTAAAAGATACAATATGATGTTTTCTTATACATCTCCGTTCATATTCATCTACAGTTTATAGCGTAAGCGATGTGATTTATGACTTTTATCATCATAAAACAGGAGATATGTTTTGAGTTTATTTTTTGAACAAATTTATGTTACTACTGATAGTAAGTCTGGAAGATAAATCTGCTGAGTGTTTAAATTCACAGCGCTATGTTTGTTCTTCTTGGCTTCAAATAACAGTGCTACTAAAGTGCAGAGGATACTTTAAAAGTTAAGAAACGCTCAAGGAATAACTGTTGAGTTTCTTCTCTGTTTAGAGATATATTTACCAATGATTGCAAAGGTTGATTATAATTTCAGTTGGGAAGGTAGGTGTAAAGGATTCGAATGTGCTAACAATCACTTTTTAATAGTTGAGCAACTAGGTAACCAAATCACAGTTGTGCTAAGATTTCCTGTGTTATTATTCCGACTGTCCGTCCATCCGTTGTTCCGTCCTAATACGGGATCCAGAAATGATAAAGAATATATGTATTTCAGGTGGATGATTTTGGTGTTGCTGACTTTTATGAGTAAATCATATATAACTGAAAACGTGCGTAAAATGGTGACGTGCAAAGTTAACGGATAAGTTTCATTTCCTTGAATATATATATATATATTATTTAGGTATTCGCTTCCTATCATGCTTTATTCAAACCGCGGGGTTGAAGGAACTGGAGAGAATCAATGAAACTGCGAACCACTAGATAGCCTTTAAGTACTAGTTTGCACCTCTATCACTGCTCATACACAAGGTTAGAATCCATTGGATTGATGTAGTCTCTGGCGTGCACTACTGAACAATCTCAAAGGGAGTAAAAAATGTCCATTGAAAATTCGTTTTTAATGTTTGTCTGGTTAGCGCCGTTTATACCACTGAAACGGTTTTAATCAATTCTTAAGTGGTATTAAAAATCTTCGTACAAATGCTCTAATTGAAATCTGATTAATTTTAATGAAAATTTGTCACTTCAGTAATCTCAATGTGTGTAATGTCGTTTGTGTTTGATGGGTGGATCTCAATCCATTTAGTTTCAACTTAGCTTACTTAAGTTACTATACCATATTGATTTTCCATTCACAGTAATGTTGAAATTTTTTCATTTTAGATACAATCATGGAAAATAAAGAAATCTTGAACATATCAATCCATTCGTCATGTTTTTGTATGGTTATGAAGCAAAATTTTCCATCCTAATATTACTGTACTTTCTTTGAAATGCCAGGTATAATAGTGAAAATACTCAGTTCTTGAACTATTGTTATGTCAGTAGAGTACGAGATAATAGTCACCTGTCGAATATCGCGTCTGCGATGGCTTACTGATTCCTTAAATATGACTATAAAATAAATCATGATTCAGGACTAGCTCAACTAGGACAGAATTTTCAGTTATTAATATCTTAAAAACGTCAAGTGTTGTCTAAAAATTTTAAAAAATTAAGAGTACGATTACGATAAGAATGAAGATGTGAAGTGAAGTGGAAAGAATTCAAGTGGTAAAATAAAATAAAGTAAAAACTAGAAAGGACACTACTATGACCAAGGTAAAGGAAGGGGTTTGACAAAACGTTTTTGAACACATAATTTAGGTTTCTGTTCATGTATAGCTAAAGCTTCGGCTATGCATAAGTGAAGAAAACGTAAACTTTTGGATCGATTCGATTTTGCCATGTAGATAACTTTGAAAGATTCACTTATTAAACAATCTTTAATAATTTTGTAATTTATCCACTTCAACTCTACCCCTTATAACATTTTAATTATCGTTATTCTTATCACATATATCCCCACGGGATTCATCTTTCAAAGTTATCTACATGGCAAAATCGAATCGATCCAAAAGTTTACGTTTTCTTCACTTATGCGTAGCCGAAGCTTTAGCCATACATGAACAGAAACCTGAATTATGTGTTCAAAAACGTTTTGTCAAACCCCTTTCTTTACCTTGGTCATAGTAATGTCCTTTCTAGTTTTTAATTTATTTTATTAATATCTTATGAACACGTACAAGGTTTGTAAATGAATCACCAAAAAAATGGAATCATGAAGACAGTCGAAGTATACGCCACCACTTGAAATCTCCCCCCGCTGTACTTAAAGCAAGCTAATTTTATAGGCTTTCAATTTTGGAACTTTGATTGAAATGCTCTCTTTTTAATAAGTTGCTAAAATTGTCATTATTTGGAGGTGTTTTTCTTTACCTGAAAGCCACGAGACGAAAGAAATGTTGTGTAGATCAAAAAACCATAAGAGATATTATCGTAAAAACAGAGATTTAGCAAATAGATTGAAGCGAGATTAACGACTATTTAATTTTGGAAGAGTTTTAAGGACTAACTTTTATTCCAATGCACCTTTGCTTCTTTACAATAGCATGCTATTCTGTTTAATTAGCATTCAGATGACGAATGAGAATATATTGGTCTCTGGAGAAGATATGTCCATTTATTCAATTTTCAAATGTGTTTGAAAGACATTCTTCAACTCGACTTGCACAGTAATGAAAGCGGTATAAGGACATTACTAAAGGACTGTGGGCTCTAACGATTAATGTTTACCATTCGTCCACTAGATTCAAATCCAGTGTGGTGAGAGCTGGCCAGCCAAAATTGGTAGACAGTAATTTACGTCAATGTTTACGTCCCCAATATTCGTCATGAGAAAAATAAGAACAAAGACTGACTCAACGACCAATCACAGCAGACTTTGCGTAGGTGGGTACAATTTGCAGATAGATAATCTGAACTTCAAGTAACGGCCACAAAGAGGTGGAAGATTAACGTTCAGCGAGAAACCACCAATCAGAAGACTGTGTTTGTTTGCTTACAATAGTCTGTAATAATGTACATGAAAATCTATAAATATCTGTTGATTTCCTAAATAAACGATCTGTTGCCTGGCCCTTGTCTTCTGTTGTCACACCAGTTGTTTGATTTCTTGTATTTTTTATAGATCTGTTGATTGAGGATAGAAGGCTTGGAGCCTATGTTAGTCCAGTAAATTTCTGCTTGTCCAAACGATTCATCGATGAATCAATTGAGGTTGTAGACACCACTTCTTCTGTGAGTTGGTTCCAGGAGTTTATGACTCGGTGTGAGAACCAGTACTCCACAGTAATATGTCCTCTAAGGTGTTCCGACCTAGTGAGAAGGAAAAGAGAAAATAGGTCAGGTCCATAGTCATCATTTGAAATTTTAAACATTGTGATTAAATCTCCTCTCTGCCTATGGTATGACAAGGAGAAGAAATTTCAACTGTTTAGTCTTTCCTCGTATGATAAGTTAGTCATGCCGAGTACCATACGTGTTGCCTTCCTTTGAATCCTTTCTAGAAGACAAGGATTGGCTGCCTGAATACAGTTTTTCCTTGTTGACCTCACCGGTGATGTATATAAGGAGGTGAACCTATCTCTGGTGATTCTAGTGAAGGCTCTGCAAATTGTCAGCCACCACATGGCAATGTGCTGTAGTTTTTACGTTGTGACTTAGTATGACACCTAAATCCAAACGGGTCTGGACTGATGGGAGTTTTATTTCCTCTAGTTAGCGGGAGCTGATGCTTGCGTGTCCAATGCGCATGGGTGCACATTTCGCTACATTGATCGGAAGCAACCATTCCCTGTAACAGTCTAATAATTTGTTGAAGTCTCTTTGTAATGTGATAGTATCACTTTCATCCCTCATCTCTCTCTAGATTTTCAAATCATTCACGTATAGGACCAATGGGGAATCGGTGAGCAGAGATAACTCATTGATTTGCAAAATAAATAAGAGACCTGAGTACTATGCCTTGTGGCACTCCACCACTTACTTTTGTCCAGGAGGAGAGTTTCGAGTTGATCCTGACCATATGTCTCCTACTTTTAGGGAATTCTCCAATCAAGTCTGGTAAGCTGCCTTTGATACCAAGACTTTGCAAATTCACGAGTAGTCTTTTTGTGAGGCACTTTATCACAGGCTTTGCTGAAATCTATGAAGGCGACGTCAACGGGTCTTATGTTTTCCCTTAATTCGACCCAGCTTTCTCTTGCAGTGAGAATATTTGACAGGCATGAAAGGTTTCTTGGGAAGACGTGCTGTGCTCTGGAAACCATTTTGTTGTTTTCCAGACATGCCATGATGCTTTTCTTGATGATTCTTTCCAGTGTCTTGATTAAAGTGCTAGTAAGACTAATAGTTCTGTAATTTGAATGGCTTAGTCTTGATTCTCCTTTGTGAATGGGGGTTACTATGGCGTCTTTCCAGTCACGTGGTAACACTCCATTTAGGAGAGAGCTTGAAGACCGTTGTCAAAGGGCCGGCTATGTGAGCTGATAGCTCCTTGTAAGGCCTTAAATGAAGATTATCAGAGAGCATCGATTTTTCTGCACCTAGTTTCTTTAGGCAGATGAACGCGAGGTCTTGGTCAACGTCAGTGGAGTCAAATCTGTGTCCCACTGATGAGGCTAAAGCTGATTCTACGGGGAGTGACGACTCATGTGCGAAAACTTGGCAGAAGTAGTCAGCCATTTGGTTGTAGTCAGCAGTTGGGTTTGGGATCCCATTATAGGTATTATTCCTGAAGTTCATGTACGAGAAATAGGAGTGCGAGATGACTGTATAGCTAGATAGGGATCGTGCACGAACGAACGTGACACGACGGCGTACCAAATGGCGTGGATGCTTGACCGGAAGCCTTCAGCTAAAAAAGTTGACTTAAACAGTGGGGGTTAGCATCCAATGTTCAGTGATGAACGCTGTGGCCAATGATTCTGAGCAATTACCTACCGCTACAGTTCTCTAACCGATGTCAGTGCACGATGATATCCTGTAACCGATTTTATAACCATTCAAAATTACAGGACTGATTAATCTCCCACTTAGACATTACAGAATTTAGGAGATTCCTTAGTAGATTTACGAGGTCACCACAAAAAGCTGCTGTAACCGTGGTCGAATGAAATTTAGATTCTCTCACAGGGTATTCAACGACTGGAACTCCTTACCTGATTCAGTAGTAATAGCTCCGTCGGTAAACGCTTTCAAAGAGAAATGAGGTCTATGCAGAGATACATATTACAGGGATGGACTTACTCAACAACAAGAGTCTTCTATCCTTTTTATGCGAATGTAGAGCGCTGTTTTAATAAACATGTGCTCCCTACAGACTTGCATATGACTTTGAGACGTTTTCACTTAACTGTAGACAGAGACTTAAGGGCCACTAAACTACTTATAATTCATTACGTATATCGGTCGATAGTGTTCCTACAGAATTACTTAAGTGTAGTAACGAGTTCAAGTCCTAGGGAGCACCGGTCTAGCATGCCGTGCTCACAAAGCGAACACATGAATTGAAAGACAACAAGATTTATATGAAAAGTGCATATTTATTATAATACAACATTAGTTTGTTTACGTATTAAGAAGACGGTCCATATATGCGATTAATTCTCCTGTAACGTTCGCGGCAAACACCTCTCCAAATTTGTCAGTAAGTCTTGTCAGGAGCTCATTAAGAAGCCTCCATCTAGTTTGGAGTAGGTTACATGGATTTCGAGGGACAACTGCTGATATGCTTTGAGATACGCACGAGTTCGTTGACATCGCAAGCAACCGACAGGCCAAACAACGGAGTGTATGACAAACCAAGCCTTGTACATGCACAAAAAAGAAAAAAACGTTTGATTAGTCAAAGTTTACATTTACATTCATCACATCTGCTGACAAACAATGCATGACGCAAGCACACAAAGCTGCAAACGACATCACCTACCAAGGAAAATCAAATATCAAACTGACCGCCACTGTTCCAGCCAATGAAAGAGGAGAAAACCTAAGGCGCGGAAAATTTAACACGTTATAGCGTATATCCTCACCCCCAACAGGTATGTTAAATACTTTGTCAATGTACGTCCCAAATCGGACAATAGACCTCACCGTTAAGTATGGCAGCCTAAGTGTATACGTTGAATAGTTGAAAACGTTGTGTATCAATAAAGCCATGTGGCATAACTATAGTACGTACGTGGTTTCCTCACTAGTTAGTCACTTCCTTGAAGAAATGTGGCGATTCAGGCATCAGGCACCATCATTAAATGACCATTATTGTCAGTAATACTTTGTCCCCAGTGACAGTTGGTCGTTAGACTTTTATTTTCTGAATTCTCCCCAAGCTTGTAGGTTAGTCAATAATAATGCTGAACTATAGTTCAGCATAGTATTATCGGCTCATATATGAGCCGATAATACCATTTCATGGCGAATGAATATTTTGTTCGCCTAAAACGAAATTTGTATGTACTGAAGTAAGGCTGGAAGTGCTTATAGGTAGGACCGGTTACTTAATTAAATTAAACTATGCTGTAATAATTCGGGCTAATGCTGAAACGGGTCTGTAGGAGCTCAAATGACTCTGATACACAAATCCACTATGCTTTAAACTACTGCTGATAATGCCGAAAAAAATCACAGAACACGGAATCGGGACCAGCAATAATGAGAAAAAGCACCGAGTTATATTTTATGCGGGAAATCAAGGCATTTCAGAATATACTCACCACCGAAAGTAAGCTTGAGCCTAAAATTTGTAGACTTTAATTCAGCATTATTGTAATCTTGGGTCACTGCTAGTGCTTAAGTCACTCAGTAGGTGTATTCTCCAACTGGTTAACACCATTGTGGATAGACATATAATGTCATGTAAGAAACTAGAGAATTCTATATTGTCAGACCCCGAACACCCTCTCTATACGCAGCTCTCTCCTTGCATTTCATTTGGTAGAACTAGAAGCAACTATAGGATGCTATATGCTAGGACTACCAAGTACAAAAACTCCACAATACCTTATCTGGCACAGCTGTTATGTGATGAGAAATCCGTTAGGTATGACACAATCAACTTACTGCGGCACTCTAACAAATAGTTCCCATTAGCTTTTGTTCTCCTTTCTTTGTTACTATTATATTGTTGCTCACATATTCTATTACACACTAATTTTATATTTCATATCCTGTGGTGCATTGTTTAAATATGTGAATGCAATGCTGTTCTTTTTTTATTTCTTTTATTTCTTTTTTTCTTTTTGTTGTTGTTGCTTTTTATTTCTAAAGTCTTATAAAATTTATGAGGTAATTAGATGCAATATTGTAATGCACGCTGAAAATTCCATACCTGTACCACAAATACTGTTTGGAATAAAGCTATCATTATTATTATTTTTAAACTCACCGGTGAGTAGATTTCGTGGAAGTATCTAAAAGAGAAGATGAACTAACGCATGTTGTATATTAATGTCACTAAAACGTTTGAGCATTGTGGAATAGATGAAATAAAGTATAATTATACTTCAATAGTTTACACACAATGATAAGTTTTGTTATTGGTAATATTTCGAGCAAAATTACTGCCCATGTTCACACCACTGTCAGAATTTTTTTGTTTTTTTATTAAAACGGAACTATTCCAACAGTGGTGTGAACACTGGCAGTAATTTCGCTGTAAATATTACCAATAACAAAACTTATCATTGTGTGTAAACTATTGAAGTATAATTATACTTTTTTTGCATGTTGTATACTTAAATCTCCCTCCCCCCATAATATCTCATGTCAATAGAGAAAACCAATAGGTTTATGTGCGAAAATGACACTCTCTTGAACCATTTATGACTCAATATGACTAAGAGCGAGTATGCTGATACGATTAAAATCTAAAAAGTCAAATATTCCAGTTAATTCTTGGAACTCTCAATAGTGAGGTAAAAATCTACCTGCTTCTTTTAGCTGTTATTCGAACGCTTATCACCGCTGTAACTATAGCAGAAGGGCCAGAATTGTATTGATAATTTTGCACTAACGCGAAATCCAATATGCCAACCCGTGTAAATAAGACAAGGCGGTAGATCCACTGGGTTCAAACTCGTTTAGTGTGTTAAACTACTGTGTAAATAACTATAGTGCACCACAGACCACTTAGAAAGCTGTATAAGGCTTAGAGAGATTTTCGCAAGTTAATATATGCAGGAACCACAGTAGCGTTTTCAAAATGCTTACGAACAACATATATACAGGCTGGGATCACTAGATATTATCTGTACTGATTCGAATCATTCGTTTATGTAAACAAACTAATACGACAAGTTGTTTTCTCGTTGTTGTTGGTTGAGGAATTTCTCAGAATGGTTGGTCATTCTAAGATAAGGCGTTCACCCTGCTCTCACGTCAAGTTTGTTTCATATGAATTTATGCGATTCCGGATGTGTAAGGCTTCTACATGCCACATGGGTAATCAAATCAAAGTATATTAGTTAGATTTAGTCATTTTAAAAGTAGTGAAATCCTAGTGAGCTGATCGCTAAGTTCTAGCCATCTTGGTCGCTTGCAGAATTTAATGCATTCAAGCTGGTTTTCAGTTTCACTATCTTCAGTTGAGGTACATACTAATGTTTAATAACATTCTTGCTGTAACAAATCTTTAAACACTTTGGTTACTTACAGTATGCTTTCAAATATAAGTGGCTGTTAGCATGTAATGCAAAAGCTAGTAATTCTACGGCAAGATAAAAGTCATAACTTCAAAATTCCACCCTTTCGCTCAGTTGCAGCTGTGTGGTATAATTCCATCCTGTTTATAAGTCGAATCAATTCACGTCTCCTGTTTAACTATGTAGAATGTATCACATGATAAAATAACCATCTCCGTTTCCTGTTAAACAGGTAGGAAGTTACCCAAAACACCAACTAACTTTAATAGTGCAGTTATGTAAGTTACTAGATGCTTCTCTTGTCTACTTTCCTTAGACATTCTAATAAGATGTGTACGCATTAATCGTATTTTTTGTATGTTGTTTATAGTATTCCGACTTATTCCATTGAAATGATACTATCAAAGTGTCTTGTTACTTGACAAGTCCAACACTTCCGAGTTGTATTTGATGTTTTAGACTATTTGTTACTCTCTAATTGACGATACTGATGTACAAAAAATACATTCCAGATGTTTATCTGGATAGTATTTTTAGTACATGTGATGTCTCAATGCTGCTGTTGTACCTATAAATGTCGTATAGTCATGAGATTTTAGCAGACTAGACATTTCATTATAGATCTACTAATAGACTTAACCCTAACTTCAGTGACTCAGGGATTGAATTGGTGCCAGGGAATAATCTCGTCAACTTAGAATATGCGAATAACATAGTTCTTCTTGATGACGACGCTGACAAAATACAGAGTCTACTAAAAACTTTGAGCAGTAATCTCCGAATGTTCGGCATACGGTTCCCCCCTGTCAAATGTAACATGATGCTACAGGACTAGACTAGAATGACTCCTAGCTTGAAGGTAGGCAGTGAAGTGGTAGAGCGTGTTGACTACTTCACCTATTTGGGAAGTTGCATCAGCCAACACCAGCGGGTTGATCGCTGACGAAATCTCAGTACAGATATCAAGGGCTCATTTGGCATATGCCAAACCATGCCACCTCTGGTGTACACGTGATATCTGGGTATCGACCAAAGAGCATATTTACTGCTCAGCAGTTCGCTCCGTCCTCCTTTATGGCCGAGACATGGTCATTGAAAGTGGAAGATATGAAAAGCCTGGCTAGCTGCCTTTGTTCATAGGTGTCTGCGTTCGATCTACCGTGTCAGTTGGTATAATAAGGTGGGTAATATTGAGGTTAGGCATCGAGTGCTAGGTAAGGAGGGAGGGAAAGTCAGTCGACGAGGTTGTGAAGTTGAAGTGGTTAGGGTATGTGTTACGCATGCCTGGCCATCGCCTTCCTCGACGAGCGATGTTAGCCGACATAGGATAGATAAGGTTGGAAAAGAGCTAGGGGGGATCAAACGAAAACATGGCAACAGTCAATGAAATCCACAAGTTACTTTAAGCTAGCCGCGTTGGGAGATGTAGACTTCGTGGTTGGGTTCCTCGGGATGGCAGAAACCAATAACTGACGACAATTGGTGAATATGGCTCAAAATCGTTCTCAATGGCGCAGATGCATGTACTGTACTTTTGTCTGAACCGCCTCCAGATATTTATCGAAAATATTTTAAATTTATCGCAAAACATTCACGCTTGTCCATGTAACTAACCTTAGTATCCTATAGAAACGGATGTTACAAAGTAGACCTACTATTTTCAGCCGTATCAGCGGAAAATTTCTTGCAGGAAGTTTGCAAACTGGCCTAGATACATTACTTCATTATAAGTGCTGCTCTCCACTGGTTTCTTATTAGCTTCTATAGTCAATTTTATTATTTTTGTTTAACTTTATAGCCTTAACGTGCATTTATGGTACATCACTCAATGGCTTATATTCTTACGAAAATGTTTAAATTACGGTTTTCACACTTCTCATTCATTACACGCTTATGCACTTCATCAACTTATTCAACAGTTAATACTTCCGTGCCCCTTTTAGAGTTGAAAAACCGACACAGAAGTCTTATAGATAATCTCGATACCTTTGTAAAGCAATCACCAAAGAAGTCATGTTGTCATTTAGTTATCATACCAGCCTCGGAGATACAGTATATGGCGTATCATGTTCCATATCCATTCCACCAGGATTCCAATTTTTTCTACTTCACGGGATTGAATGAACCAAATGGTATTTTGTTGGTTTGTAGAAATGAAATTGAAGGAAACGGAGACGACGTTTGTTGGTCAACTCATCTGTTTCTTGAGATGCATAATAAGCATGCAGAGATCTGGAATGGTCCAACTTTAACATTATCAGAGGCGTCTTCATTGACTGGGATCAAACACTGCTATCCTTTAAACGACTTACGCAATTTCCTGCACCAACAAGTTGCATCCTCATCATCACTTTGTGTTTGGTACAGTCCGTTATCATCTGACGAACCTTTTGAGCGTCCTCAAAATAAATTTGTCTTAAGAAACATTTCAAAGTTTTTAAAAGAGATAAACAACAAAAACGTTAGTTTTGAAAATCCAGAGCATATTATCGATAATCTTCGTTTCAAAAAGTCAAACTATGAAATTAGCCAGATGAAACTGGCAGTTGTCGCAGCTATTGAATCGTTGGAATCTGCTATGCAAATCACGAAACCAGGAATAACGGAAACTTCTTTACAAAGTCACATTGAATATCAAATGCGCAGTCGAGGTTGTTCTGTCGGATATCCACCTGTTGTTGCTGGAGGTTATCGAACAAATATTATCCATTACATGAGAAACAATTCTGAAATCAGAGATGGAGAGCTTATCTTGGTGGATGCCGGCTGTCGTGTAAATGGATACACATCCGACATCACTAGAACTTGGCCAGTCAATGGTAAGTAAGTTAACTCATCAGCCTATTTATTTAATTTGATTATTTTATTGTATTAATGTAGAACAGGCATTCAAATATTTTTACGGTTTGAATATTTGAGATAAAAGGACTAGTCGTAATTTTATGATGCTGAGCTGGACGATTTAGTAATGGCGAACCCATTATCATTCTGAACGATATCAGAGCGAACCTCAGCAGTCCCGGTCGATGATTTACCTGAAAATAACACTAAAAACTTTACGACTCAACCATCTACCCCAAAGAACGCTGTATCAAATGCAAATGCTGTCCATCACCTAACTAAATTTCTCATGTCCCAAAACTTTGATGGACGTGCAAAGATTTTAAAATCTTGGTACCTTCTGGGCCTGGAATTTGTCGGACATGGCCCAATGGGTATTGTAATAGTTTGGAGAAAAACTCCATATCCGGTTGCTCTTCTATACGTTATCCGTCGATGGTGCATAAAACCTGAGTTTTTTTCGTTATGCTTGGCAAGGAGTAGGTATTAGTCAGAATATCTTATCGGTAGTCGTTTAGAAATGGACCAGACCAATCAGTTGAGAATAAAATTTCACCCATGTTTTATTTAGAAATCTGAAATATTCAGATTGCGGTATAGATGGTTTCAGCTACTCCTGTGGATTAGTAGTATGTATTGTGTTAATACTCCACTCGTTTTCCAAGTACTGTTTACAGTGTTATGCAAGTCATATGTTAAGATATACATATTTTGGGTTTTTGAAGGAGGCTATGGTAAAATTTTTTCCTTGGACTGTCTGATTTTCAAATAAAGAAACTTTATTATGTTACCAGTTCGCGGGGTACACCGTTGGTGAATTAACTGTCCCACATACAGATCACTTTTGACATTGCCGAAAAATCTACTAGTTAATCTGAATTGCCTCCAACTGCCCTTATCAGTCCGTAGTATATGCTGTCATTATTGTCACTCATGGTTTCCAGAATACGATTTCTACTATACCGCACTTTTATTCATTTACACATAATGATGGAAATTTTCATAAAATATCATTGGAAATTGTTCTTTCGTGGATAGTATTTCTAATCACATCGAATTTGGAAAACAGATTGTACAAATTAAATAATACCGCTTGTGAATCACCATTTGAATATGCTTATTTACTAGGTTATTTCTCACCAACTCAGAAAATTGTACACGAGATACTTCTTGAAATTCAAAAATCTTGCGCTTCTGTAGCCTCTCCTGAGAAAAGTTTACAAGATTTGTATAATCACATGTTATCAGAAATTGGACGACATCTGGTTAATGAACGTATAATTCCAGACCAAGATAGACTATATGTAAGTTGATGCTTGAATATACCGTTTAAAGTTAAGTAGAATGTGCTGTCCAAATTACGTTTCCTTCATATCACTTATGGGATATCAAGGAAATTTCCTAGAAACATATTTTAGTGATTATATGTACTCATATATGCATTCCTGTTACGTAACCACCGCTTTGAAATTAAGCACTTTCAGGTCACATAAGAATGCTGAATATTGATACTACAAGCAATTCACTGGTCTGAGTAGAAATGCTAAAATCTCCGAAATTGTGGAATCCCAGCATAGCTCAAGGTCATCTAGTCTACATATTTACAGCTGTTGTGATTGCCAACTTCGTTCAAATCTTAAACTTGACTGCCGAGTTTTATTGCTTTCTACCTTCACCTTGACTAAAAGCTTACATACAACCCCTTATCTTTAAAGAAAAGTAAATCAGTTGGAGTTATGACTGAAAGATGCCTCGAACTTACTTATAGACATATTGTGCAGTTGATGTCTCTTTTGTGTTTAGCAATTTTTGTCTACTGTAATAGTAATGCACTCGTCTGTAACGTCTACTCAGTAGTTTTATGCTCTACCGCTTTATAAGGGATAACTATTCCCATTTTTGTTGAAATTTTACGTATCACAAAGTAAAAATACATTTAAATAAATACCAGATAAGTGTAATACAAAAATAGTATGATTCTATTTTTGCTCCTTTCTTTTCCGTATACTGCTTCAAGATGTAGCAAATTAATTGGTACTTTTTTGTGCCGTGTTCCACGCTGATGTGTTAGTAAGCTATCAGATCAACCAAAGTTGATGTTTTATAAGAACCCGCTTATCTGGTAATTAATTCGACCAATGTAGTTTCCATCTTCGTAATGTGATCTATATTTTCCAAGAACTAGTACAATCATGGTTTAATTCTACTCAGCTTCTCTCATACACTATGAGAAAGGACAGAGGTAAGTCAGCTTTGGAGACCGTTCGTTTTGAAACGTTCAATCTATCCATTGGAAGCGGAAGAGTACTAAACAAGTAAAAGAGAGTTGACCATTGAGTATGTAGTTTTGATGAAACCTCTTGATCTACATTAACGTGTTTCTGTTCACTTAATGTGTTCATTAGTATTTTTAATCAGCAAACTAGGGCGATATCGCTTCTCTTCAGTTGGATTTAGTCAACTAGCCTCCTAATTAAGCACATTTAATAACTAACGAACATTTGACGCGCTCCACTCGATTAATATGTAAATCACGAATTTCGCTGGTGAGAGACATTACTTTGGAATCATCTGTACGTTGTTTTTGTATTTAGTGCTTTTATGTATTTCGTGTTCGTTTGCGATTTTGAAACAAGAGTAAAGCGCACTGAGGCGTTCCAACTTATTTGTGGTGAGAAAAACTACTACACTCACTATTATTCCCTTTGGTTCCAAGTGGAACTACAGCATCTCTTCATTCTGTCCTCTTCTGGTTCCACGAATGCTCTTAAGCTTTCATTTCCCCATACAATCTCCATTTCACCCTTGGACGTCCAACTCGTCATTTACCACCCGCGATCCACTCGAGATCCCGGCGCGCGACATCACTCACCAGTCTACTCAGAATGCCGGATCCATCTAACTGTGTTGGAAATATTTGGGATATTTTTCATGTGCAATTTACGCGTGACTGCAAATCCAAGTGTCCTACTTTTATTTTTAATGAATTGTTTATAATGATGCTTAACACGCGTATCCGGTCTTACCCTACTGCATTACTAAAGAGTGAGTGTATCTTGCAAAGAACACTTTGGGTTGCTTTATTTTGTGAATCTACTATGCGTGTGATAAAGCAGCCCTACACATTTAAATAATATTTGACAAACTTGAATATAAATGGTAAGATCTACTTGTTGAAATAATATACAGATGTCTTTATTATTTCTGTCCAGCTATACAATCACTAATTAAATCAAATGCTTATTTTTGTAATTTAGGTGGCGCAAAAAGTTTGTCCACACCATGTCGGGCATTACCTTGGTCTGGATGTGCATGATACTCCAACAATACCATACACGAGACGTCTTCAAGCGGGTGTGGTCTTTCCTCTAGAACCAGGTATATATTTCAGGAGTGATCTGGCCAACTTAGGCATATCTAAGGAGTTCATGGGCATCGGTATGAGGGTAGAGGATGATTTCGTTATGACAAATGATGGTTCTATTCAGAATCTGAAACACGTAGAACTTGACAAAAGCTAAAATACCATTTGATCCTTGTAAAACTAACATACATCCATATTGATTTCAGTAATATTTTCTATTAAATATACTTTTTCCACTGATTTCTTAGTTGTATCGTAACAAGGGTTGTACTACTGTTAATGTTGTTTTGTTGGTGACTTATTTCAGTATCATACAAGCAAGCAAGTCATGGCTTTCAGTTGGTTTCTGTCTCCTTTCGCTCATAAAAATGAAACCCCTCACGATTTTGCAATGAACTCATGGGCGAGAGTATAAGAAAATTACCGTCCACCCCGCGACGAAGTAATTAAGATCTCGCACATGATTGAACGAAGTAGCCTAGTACTCAGCAAGACTAAATTCTGGTATTAAGTGACATCTAATTCAATATAGAAAATATCCCCATTTAGACATTTGGAAAACAGAAAGATTGAGCGAAGAAATATTTACTTTCCAATTAGATCCTCATCTCTGGCTCTACTCTAATATATATAGCATTTATTACAATACACAACAATTTACCAAACAAGTGGTGATATGTTTGTTAACAATAATTAAAGTGTCAAAATGTCAATGGGTTGATAATTAACGAAGAAAATCAATACAAATTTAAAAGGTAGAAATGGATAGAATAAATTAATTTTACAAGGATAACACGTAATTAAAGATGAAGTGGTCAAAATAAATAATAAAAAAATAATTTGGACAATTATAATTTTTAAAGGTTTAGGGGGAGGGGGCGAAGTAGTCCGGTTTATACATTCATGTAACGATGGCCAAGGTAAGGAAAGTGGCTGTACAAATTTCTTCTGTACACATAGGCTTGGTTTCTTCTGGTGGATTCCGATTGCTTCAGCTGTCTGTAGAAGACGAACTCGTAGAGCAAAGTTAAGATTAGTCGGAATGCGATAAATAATTTTAAATGCAGTATTCACATCAACCTTATGCTCAGTATCAACAAGGTGTGCTAAAATAGAACTACGAATAGATCTTGTTTGTCCCTTGCTTAACCACGCTGGATGATGTTCAGAAATACGACGATGAAACTGCCTAATTGTACGCCCAATGTAGCTGGCTCCGCAGCTGCAGTCAAACTGGTAGACACACATAGAAGAGGCAAAATTAGGTAGTTTATCCTTATTTCTCGAACATAGAATAGGGGTGGTTTTGAAGAGACAACGTACCTCTGCTGCATAATAAGCTCTTTTAACTGCATTCTTCAAGCGCTGTGTTATGATTTCGCTGATGTTGTCACCGAGGAACTGCAATTTTATGAACATTGGTTTTTTCGGAACTGTAGCCATACTGACTCTCCTTGGTGCTGAATTCATATTCTTCTCAATAAATTTATCTGGATAACCATTTTTTCTAAGTAATTCTTTAATAATCTTAAGCTCCTCATTGAGGCAGTCGTCTGAACAGATTAACCTAGCTCTATGAACCAGACACTTTACCAGGTTACGTTTATATTTCAAAGGTACAAAACTCAAAAAATGAGTGTACTGACCTGTTGTTGTAGGTTTCCTATACACACTCCTTCTCAGTGTGCCATCATCTTTCCTTGCCATGAAGACGTCTAGGAATGAGATACTGTCATTACTTTCTTTCTCTATGGTAAAGTTTATTGCTGAATGTGCATCATTAAACTTGTCAAGGATATTCATTGCATCATTCTCGTCTTTCATAACCACAAATGTGTCATCCATATATCGACAGTAGAAATCCATGTCATTAATTACTCCTTTCAGTGGTCCATTCTCTAATTTAGCGAGGAAACAATCAGCTAGGATTGGACCTAATGGGGAACCCATAGCTACACCATCAATTTGCCTGTAATATTCCTTATTGAATAAGAAATGAATATTCATTGTGCATTTTAAAATAAGTTCCTTCAAGGATATATAAATCCCGATGTCTATGTTTCGTGTAGTAATCTCCTCACATATAAAATCCACTGTCTCCATTAACGGTACATTGGTGAACAAGGAGGATATATATAATTCAGTCAAGATCCGGATCACTGACAAAAAGTGAAAGATGATGGTACTTCGTATTACAGTTATCAATTTAAACGTTCGTATAGGCTGACACAGAGAGGAACCTAGTCAAACGAGACTTACGCCACCTCGGAGTTCATAAACAACTTACTATCGAACTAAACCTTCCTTGGTGAATTATGCTATGTATCCTATTATTACTACTTTGTTCTGTTGATCATCACTGTTATTTTAAAGTCTGTCAGTACTTCCAGGTTTTCAAATGGTTTTCTAACCGATATCAGCTCATGATGAAATCCTGTAGCTAAATTAGCTTTCTTATTTGATCTACGCCTCAACTCGTCCTTATTTTTAATACGTATCTATGACAAGTGCACATATGATTAGATTGTCTGGAATGTAATATTTAATTACATAAGACGATAAATGAAATATTGATTTTCCTGTCGAAATCCATAAAATGAACTAACTGTCTGGAATCCACCTGAGAGGAATTCCAGGATTTCTGAAAGAGGAAACCGTTAATATTCTACGATAGCTTAAGTTTAAAAATTTGGGTGACAGTTACAGTTGTTTCACGTAGAACAAAATCACTGATCCATCTACCTTAAGGTAACAAGTGCGACTCAGGTCGAACAAAGTTGAACATCTAATCATTACAGTTACCGTAGACCTCGTATATGATAACAGAACATATGTTCCACAAGGCCCTAGCTCTTACCCTCTTCCAGTAATATGCGACGACACTTCCTTTTTAGTTTATATTTAACTGAATTTTGTTTTTAACGTACATTCATATTCCTCGTTTATTAGGTATTTAGTCTATGTATTTGTTTATGCGTTCTAATCTAAATGAGTGCCTCACTGAATGCTGTTGATCACTACAATTGCGGCTGATTGCTTAGTATTCTGCACAAAATGCTGTCGTTGTTTAGAAATCCTGTCCATATACGCCTTCTAAACGTTTTTGGATGTTGTCCCTAAGAAGCTTGAGTTTATTGGTTTTGGTGATTTTCTATTTAACTGCCGACACGCTTTTACAGTATTATTATCTTCCATACAGTTGTTGTTAGTAGGTTTCTTCAAATGGAAGCAATGACAACGAGAAATTATCCTTGCGAATAACTTGATTATTGTTACCACATCGTGAAAATAGCAAAATGTTTATCTATACGTTATAATGAGAGCAGACAGAGTCGAATTCCTTACAGTTAGATATAAAATGCCGTTTTCTTGACCTCTCTAAGATCATTTTCTTTTATCTGCAAAAGTTTGCGTTCACACAAACTAGAGTCATAATAACTCCCAAATTCTGAGTTCGAATGATTGGGACAAAAAATAATGTTGTGTTCCATGACTGTCATTAATGTTTTCAAAATAATGTTAGTTGAAATTTGTGATGCCCTGTTGGTATGAAACTTATACTGGGAGCTTCTTTCCTACCTCCTACAGACACAAGTTTGAATTACATCATTCATAAAAAGGAATGGATTTGGTAAAAGTCTTTTGATTTGTTGCAAGAAACTGCTTACAGTGATGCATAACTGGCTAGCAATGAAAAAGCACTGAGACAATTAAGCCTTTTTTGTATTAAATAAGGCATTTTAAAGTATTGGTTTTGTAGGGAATTTTTGTTTGATAGGTTGGAGGAAACTAAATACGACATTGACTAACAGAATAGTGCTACAATGTATACTCTTTAGTTATGATAATAACGGATTAACTACTGATCCTGATGATGGCGGACAACACGTTGTAACCCAGTCAGGTAGTGAGATATGAATATAATACAATGTTATAGTTATCACAAATTGTATGTACAAATATTCAGTAATGACAATATCCTGGGATCGATAGCAAGTTGGACTGAATGAATACTGAGTTAATAATATCTACAAAAATAAGTAGTTATTTGGTAAAAAACTTACTCTCCCCTGCGTTTATAGTTTCGACGATTTTTGGTTTCCGATTGACACCTACATATAATTTTAAGTTACCTAACAATTACACGTTACATTCATCTTCAACTGGCAACTTTTCAGGAAGCTCACTATCTTCTGACTGTTGGTTTTCACAGATTTCTCCTGAGGTAGCAGGCCGATTGTCACGATTATTCACACGTAAATCCGAGGTCTCTAGTTTTCCTGACTGATTTACCAGTGGAACATCATTACACGGTAGAGCTGATATCACATCCAATGGGTCTAAAATGCTTGGCTGAAAACAGAAGAATCAGGTACGGTTTTGTCTTACCCTTTTATCTTTACGTCTTTTGGCTTTCTCAAAGTATTCTGAAGTGGACAGTGAACTTGTTATCGTGATAAACTGAGCATCGGAGTTATTTATGGATGCACTGGATGAAACCTTTTCCTCCGATACATGTGCTTTTGCATATCCCAAAACAACTGATAGGTCTTCTTCATTATATTTTGATGCATCTTTAGCACGTATGGTCTTAATACCTCTTCGTGACTTCGTTGATAAGCATTCCCCAATTGAATTCGTTTCATCAGGATTGCTGTTTGATTTGTTTAATGCCCGCAAAAGACTCGCATATTCATCAATTTGTTTGATTCCCAAAGAGAAATCTGACTTTAAACCTAGTCCTCGTTTGCCTTTATGAGTGGAAGCCTAAACAAAACACTGTGAAATTACGATAGTATGCTTACCTTTATAGGTGCGGTGATTCCGCTATTATCTTTCCCTAAACCTTTCCCAGGTTCCCAACCCATTTTCTCTAACATTTTCCTGCCAAAATTGTCCGGATTGTCAGCCCAAAGTTTCCCATTTGGATCTGTAGAATATCTAGCTTTGTTGCATTTTCTTGAAGGCATTTTGACTAGTAGTTAAAAGAAAACCGAGAAGCTTATGGGGATCTTACAGTTGCAAGCAGAAAATGCAGGCTATTGAACTGTCCTACAGTCCTTTAAAGTAGATGGAAGAAAAAAATCAGGAGATTTGAGAACAGTTACAAATATTATTATAACACAATATAAATCTATCTAAGCACTGGAGCTTGGAAACTGTAATATCTTGATGAATAAACACAAAAAGGAAACTAACGTGTTAATATTGCCTAAATTTCCCGAGGATTTTTACTTGCATAAATTTAAAATAAGGAGAAAACAGTTTACTATAGATACACTCCGATTTTATTTTAAGTAGGGAAAACTAACCCTAGAGGGAAATGAACGACTTTAAAATTGGGAGACGTATTGTATTTTGATACCTGACACTGACAACAAAACGACGAATAAGATACAAATGAAGTGTCTCATATTTAAATTAGAATACACCACAATACAGTATCTCGAGGAAAATGGTATAACAGCTTTACTCATTTTTAGAGTATGCAGGTAGAATAAATAAATAGTTAGATATGACACAATAGAACATTACTCAATCTAATTTTAGAATACCGTTTCTTAACGCTAATCAAACGCTGCAAAATCTTAGAAGCTGTGCATATTTCGGCTTTATTTCGCTTCACTTCTAAAGTCTTATAATTTCTGTAAGAGTTGAAAGCCTACTGAGTGCCCTACCACGTGGATATTTGAATTATTCATAATATTGCATGGCTTCGGGTGATATTCATTTTTCTTAGAGTTATGGTCAACACACAGTATATATTTTCTGACACACTGAAAATTAACTACATTGTGAAAACAATGGGGTATTACGAATGGTCAACGAAAACAAAAGCTTAAATCTAGGATATTAATACCATCGCGAATAACCCATCTGGCTATACTGGCCCCTTGAAGGAAGAAACAGATGTTCAACTTTTATTGACCTTAGAACTAGAAGGAAACAGGATAATTACCTATGGGCTACAGAATAGTGAGCAAAAACGATTAGTGGAAGAATTTCCCGAATAAGCAACTGATCCCCTAAGTGAATTATTGTTGTACTCTAAATTACACAGCCTTAGTGAATAAACGTTAGACCTGCTCTACTTAAGCGATTAAACTGAGAGCGGATATATTTACTTACTTACGAACAATCATGAGACTGAATAAATATCAGAAATCAAGATAATTTCAAGTGTGGGGTTTGCGGAGATTCTAGCGAATGCAGGGTGGATTTCATCACTAACTAACACATACTGTCGAACTTTGCAGAAGCGCTCCTTCGATGTACCAGAAAAGTCCTAATGTCGATAAATGCATTCATCATTAGCAAGGCACATGCTTAGTACAGAGAACCCTCGGGATGTACGAGCATCAAAGAACGTAGGGTGCGTATTTGAGTGTAGGACTTACTTTCCAAATTGTGTTCAGTCCACCGTAAGTTGTAACTGAAAAGCTTATGTTACCAAAAGGTCCGGAATTCATGTGTGCATGAAGTTCCCAGCTAGCAGACTTCGGGCGCATTGAACAAATGTTCGGGGCTGGCTTAGGGGCTTTGAGCCGGGTTCGGCTGTGCGCCCGAGGTTTTATGCCCCGACTATTCAGCAGTGCGCCTGAATAAAATGTAGCTGGGTTTTAGCTGCACATCACACAATCTAAGGAGGACTCTTGATTTCAAAAGTGAGTGAATTTTAAACGACTTATTTCGTGTTAAGTGTGCACGCAGTCGATATGCACTAGGACATCACACGTTTGTGTAGTGTCAAAACCCTGAAGGCGTCAAGAACACAGCATGCACACTAACTCCCGAACTAAGCGATTTGAAAACAGACCATACGACGTACAGTTCTGTCTCAATCTTCCTTTTTGACAAATGATCATTGTTAGACAACTCCAGGCTACTCAGTATCAAAAACAGCAGACGAAATGTTGGAAGAGTTTTTGTGTTCCGCTGGAGCCTTCACATAAAGACAAAATACATACCTGTTGGTAGCGCATGCTTGCAAAGAACCGCTTCCCAATTTCCAATATAAGTTTTATGGGCAAGTGTAAACCAAGCTGATTTCTGTGTGCTCACTTCTAGATCGTAAGTTAGGGGTTTCTGGTCTCCAGAAATCTCCTGCGTATTCTATCACTCCAACCGACTATCGTAGTTTTGGTTGACTCCAAAAGGAGTGGTGCTGGGACTAATTATACGTGGTTTATTCTACGCTGTATGTTAAGACTGTATCCCTGCTGTGAGTAGGGCTTGTGATTTCTCTTGTTAGTCTTCCGGTGTGGTCGAAAAGAGAGATGATAATAATAGTAGATTATGGAGACTTAAAAAGGAAAAATAATTTGTAACAGTTGATGAAGTTTTAAATCGGTACACATGTATATATATATACTGATATATAAATAATATGAGAGACTTAAGAGATAGAGTAACCAGAAGAGTAAGACAATGGAGAATATGAAGTATTAAAAAGATGAGGTTAGGTATGTTCACATTTATAATGAGTAAGTTTTAAGTGAATAGTCACACTAGTTACTAGTGTCCAATGAAAGTTTTCAAACAGTCCTAAAGGAGGTCAGTCGCGAGCTTGAATAGCTCCGTGGTGACGTCTCAGACTGCAGCACTGGGTGACGCGGGAACGAGTTCCAGAAGTGACATGAGTTCCTTCAAGGCTGCAGATACGCCTTGCTGACGAGTGCCAACTGGTGAGAAGTCATGACCAGTGAATTATATCCACTCAGGAGTGAGAATGGAGTTCACACCGGTGACAGTGCATGGTGGTCGTACGAAAATTATCAATTGGTAGATGTTGGAATTCACGGACCATTAAGTCGGATTCCAGTGGCTGAATGACAAACGGGGTTGCCTTTCAACTGAAAGGTATGGGTTCAAAACCCAGTGGCTGCGTAATGCCAATAATTAATATTTATTTATTCCTGTTTATGCAGGAACATACCAATTGTACAGGCATGGACAAGTTTTTATATAAATTACACACATTTCAATGTATGTTGAATTTACAGTCTGTTTGTTCTTTCTGACATTGCAGTCAGTCGGAACAGTCTGCAAAATAGTCTGTTTGCGTAACACATAAAGAGGTATAGAAATATTGTCTTCGCATTAACAAAAAAACCAGACATCAGGTGAATGTAATACAAATATCTGGGAAAAATAAAGCTTGAAGTCAATTCTCCTATATAACTTTGTTGTGAACAGCATCCTTGAGTTAATGTTCGTTGATGTATAATGTTGAGATCATTGATATATTTATTCCAATTTTTTCAGCAGTCTAATCGTAATTTTATAATAGGTAAGAAATTTGATTGTGGATACGAAAACTAAATTAGGTCATGTTGGATTGTTTTACTGCATCCAATGGGGCCGAGGTCGATTCTAGAACTATCCATTGGCGCCATTTGTGTCAGCATGGCAGACTGTACATGTAAGTTGAGTAATACATTGAAAACTGTTTGAAAACCAGTTGCTTCTTTATTTCAGATCAAGAATATTCCTTGTACAGAATGTTGGCCAGCGTTTTCAAATGGTAGCATCGGATCGTTGATGGAATTTGAGTTTGAAATTACTTAAATGGTCATTTCATTTCAGATGTTGGGTTGTTCGACCTCGACCAGGAGGTATATAGAAGATTACGCTCAGCAGCAGAACAGCAGGGAGATAAAGTATGTAAATATATAAATATAATAATAACAAACGAGGATGAGACAGGTGTCCAGAACACTCTGGTATTCAATGGTTCTCAAAATGATACCAATCAGTGGTCAACCTCGAAATATATCCAGTGGGTCATCGCAGCGCAAACTGTCTAATTAACACAAAATGCGAAACGGCACATAGATTACGACTTTTGTGCCTAAATGTGGAATATTAGACGTTTCACTAAGTCTGATCCACCTATTCTGCATAGGACTTCGATAGCATGGACTATGAAGTAACTCATAAATTAACACAACACTATGGAGTGCCTTAAATCGTTATTACCGGCAATCAATTGTAACGTGATGACATCTGTACTGAGTAATCCCAAACAGACAGCTCATAGGAGCGCTTCATTTAGAGATGGGAGTAAGAAAAACTGGTTATTATTTGTGATACTCCCGGCTGTATTGGTCTCGATTACGCATGATGAAACTTTTGACTGACAAAAATTGCTCCAGAAGATGTAAAATCCATAGATGGTTTAAGTTTAATGTAATACAGCTTTGGAGATCTATAGGAGAAGACCAACAAAGTAGCAGCATAGGTTACTAAGCCAGGACTCTAAGGAGAGCACTGAGAAGACAGAATGACTGAAATTGCCCAGCCTATAGCAACGAAAACGATGAGTGGAAGAAATTTAAAGTCACACCTTTCACTTCAGCCTCACCAGAATAGCATCGCTTGAAGTACATGTAGCACGTATGAAGATGTTAAAGCCAGAGAAAATGGGTAGTGCGACTCAGTTGGTCATCACACTGAAATCAGTGCACATATCTACCACATTCACCATGACGACAAAGTGCTAAATACCCAAATAAAGTCACTGCTTTTTTATTGTTCAGAAACCTGATGCTCAACGAAAATTCTTCTAGTAAGCTGCAGATTTTTGTCGATAGATGACTTCGCTGGCTAGGTACTGAAGATCTAAGTGTCCGGCCAGAAATGATAAGTGACATGAAACTCTGGCAGACAGCTGATCAGGTTTGACATGCTTGCAGAAGGTAATAAAGATGGACTCGGCACTCACTGAGGACTGAATAATGATAAGTCACACACCAGGTTTTCGAGTACTATCGAAGTTTGGAATGTCTAGCTTGACGTCCGACTGGCATCAAGGAGACTTATCGAGGAGATAAAAGCTTGTGTACTTTAGTGAAGCCAGATGGAAGCAACTGTGTAGAACCGAGTCCAGTTCACACATTGTTGTGAACTTGTGTTTCAGTTGGCCTTTATTTTGAGGGGAGATTTAATTGCCACAATATTCCGATTTCACAGACATAACTTAGGCTTATGCGTGAAAGAAACTTATTGCCCTATTTGGAATAAAGACAAGTTGTTTTGAAGGTGAGGAAGACTTTGATTTTCAGTGTATTCATGTAGATACTACTGCGTACTGAGTTGCATTGCAATTCCATATGAAGCAAGAGATTATGAATGCCTTGCCCTCTCTTCTGCATAAATAACGCTGGAATTACTTCACAGAGACTCTCCATATAAAGTTCAGTAAGGGCAAATAGATGTTTCTCCACTTCAGTGTTATGAGTTAATTTGTGAACTGTGTAGGCTTTTACAGTAATACACTTGGCAAAGGGACTTCATTTTGAAATCAAAAGTGTACATGTTTTGCTAAATCTTATGCACTTCCTGTATAAATTTTGTGCTCGTCAAGTGATCATTTAACGATTGCTGAATGTTACAATTTAGCTAAAATTATAACTTGTAATTCCGAGAATTGTTTTTTTCATTTTCATTGGCAGCAGTTCACAATCGATTGAGTTTACACAACCACAATGCCCATTTCCCACTTTACTGAGGAAACGCTAACTGGGTTTTTTGAAAAAGCAGCACGTCATTTTGTGAATTTCATGAACTCTACAGATTGTATTCTGATCACTTAGCACTGAAACTAAGCTATGAGGGAACTCGTATTTCCAGGAAGGATGTAATACAAGGTTCATTTCTACAACTGTCTTCCTTACTTTAGTTCAGTTCCATCGTATATGTATTAACAGAATTATCTGTCATTGACTTGAGGGACTTACCAGGGGACAGTCTCGTCAACTTAGAGTATACTGTTGATATTTCCCACCTAGGTTGTGAAAAATGAACAACAAAGCTGGGAGATATGAGACTACTGTGTTTGATCGTAGGTGTATGTGCTCTATTCTCTGTGCTAAGTGGTATAGTGTGGTGAGTATTGCTAGGGGTTAAACGTATAGTTTTGGGCTGAGATGTGACTCCAATTCGTTGTCAATGACAGAGGCATTCACTTTGCGTGATCTCACGTATCTAATCAACAGTTACATTTCATTCTTATCACTAACCGTCCTCCCTCACATCTATACTCATTGCAGTTCCACTTAATTTCTTTTTTCTCAACCTTTTTGTGTAGTAACTTGAACAGGTGCACGTGTGTGTAAGCTTCTATGTTGAAAGTCAGTCAGTCAGAATGACAAATAGTCTAGGTATAACGAAATGTTAAAAAGTGGATTATAATCATCCAAATGTCAACAAATGATAGTCGTATTTTTTCATTCGGTTCTCGTCTAACTGAAAAAGAGTTATCTTACGATAATTCCTCCTCTTACTCGAGATAACTTTCACTCTCTGTCTCGTTATACCTCATGAGTTAGTTTATTTTATCCCTTGGTCTAAATACTAAATCGAAACACATATGATGAAATATTTTTGGCTTGTTACCAACTAAATATAATACTTTTCAAATGTGGAATGTAACAAATCGAACTGCTTCACTTCTGTGCTGAGTTGTATGTTAAAACTCACTTAGTAAGCATTTTTTGGTGCAACCGCCCAGTGTCACAACTCATCACAGTGTTAATTGGCTTAAACAATTATTGATACCGTTTCCTAAGCATTGTATACATTTTCTTAATTCCTTAAATTATGCAGCTATAGTGCGCTGAAGAAGAAACCATGATCCAAAAGTTAGTAACACGGACATTATAGTGTGAATAGAAGTGAATGAGATGAGTGATTTTTTTATCTATGTAGTACGCTTAACTAAAACACTCACGTATATAAATGGAGCGAAAAGTTGTCTGATTGGCTTGATATGATTATGAGCAACAATTTGTGCTCGAAACGGCATCAGTATATATTACTGTAAAACACAGTGTTTTATCAAAATAAAATCTTATCTATTGTTGGTATGAAGCCTTGAGATTATTCACTTCGGGCCGCAATATTATTAGTATGTTTATATTACTGATGCAATGACATGCAGGGCTTATGCATGTTTCTGCGAAGTTTGCTTGTAATAACGTTCCCTACATAGGTAATATAATGCT